TTGAGAACAGGAACCAGGGAAGGATGCCCTCTATCATCACTATTATTCAACATTGTGCTGGAGGTCCTAGTCAGAGCAGTTAGTCTAGGAAAAGAAATAAAGGATATCCAAATAGGCAGGGAAGAAGTCAAAGTATCTCTATTTGCAGATGTTATGATCCTATATACAGAAAACCCCAAAGAATCCACAAGAAAACTACTGGAACTAATAGAAGATTTCAGCAAGGTTTCAGGATAGAAGATAAACATACAAAAATCAGTTGTATTCCTTTACACCAACAAAGAGAACCTTGAAGAGGATATCACCAAATCCATACCATTTACAATAGCCCCCAAGAAGTTAAAATACCTAGAAATAAATCTGACCGGTGATGTAAAAGATTTTTACAGAGAAAACAACATGACACTACTGCAAGAAACTGAAAGAGACCTGTATAAGTGGAAAAATATACCTTGCTCATGGATAGGTAGACTCAACATAGTGAAAATGTCAGTTCTGCCCAAAGCAATCTACAGATACAATGCAATCCCAATCCAAATTCCAGCAGTATTTTTTAATGAGATGGAGAAATAAATCACCAACTTCATATGGAAAGGGAAGAGGCCCCAAATAAATAAACCATTATTCATGAAGAAGAACAAAGTGGGAGGCCTTACACTACCTGATTTTAGGACATATTATACTGCCACAGTAGTCAAGACAGCCTGGTACTGGTACAACAACAGATACATAGACCAATGGAACAGAGTTGAGAATCCAGATAAAAGCTCATCCACCTATGAGCAGCTAATATTTGACAAAGGCGAGAAGTCCATCAATTGGGGTAAAGACAGTCTTTTTAACAAAAGGTGCTTGCATAACTGGATATCTATATGCAAAAAACTGAAACAAGACCCATATCTCACACCAAGTACAAAAACTAATTCAAAATAGATCAAAGACTTAAATATAAAATAAAAAACGTAAAGGTCATGGAAAAAAAATAAGGACAACGCTAGGAGACCTAATACATGGCATAAACACAATACGAACCATAAGTAACAATGCACAAACACCAGAAGAGAGACTAGATAAATGGGAGCTCCTAAAAATCAAACACTTATGCTCATCCAAAGACTTCACCAAAAGAGTGAAAAGACAACCTACAGACTGGGAAAAAAATTTCGGCTACGACAAATCTGATCAGCGTTTAACCTCTGAAATCTACAAGATACTGCAAAACCTCAACAACCAAAAGACAAATAACCCAATTGAAAAATAGGCGAAGGATATGAACAGGCACTTCACCAAAGAAGATATTCAGGCGGTAACAGACACATGAAGAAATGCTCACAATCATTAGCCCTTAGAGAAATGCAGATCAAAACTACAATGAGATATCATCTCACCCCAAAAAGGCTAGCATTAATGCAAAAAACACACAACAACAAATGCTGGGGAGGTTGTGGAGAGACTGGAACACTTATACACTGTTGGTGGGAATGTAAAATGGTACAACCACTTTGGAAATCGATCTGGCACTTCCTGAAAAAGCTAGAAATAGAAGTACCATATAATCCAGCTATCCCACTCCTTGGAATATATCCTAGAGAAATAAGAGCCGTCACACGAATAAATATATGCACACCCATGTTCATTGCAGCACTGTTCACAATAGCAAAAAGATGGAAGCAACCTAGGTGCCCATCAATAGACAAATGGATAAACAAACTATGGTATATCCACACAATGGAATATTATGCAACGATAAAGAACACTGATGAAGTATAACATGTTGGAAGCTGAAACCTATTATGCTGAATGAATTTAGTCAGTCACAGAAGGACAAATATTGTATAAGACCACTATTATAAGAACTCAAGAAAAGGTTTATACACAGAAAAAAAACATTCTTTGGTGGTTACGGGGGTGGGGAGGGAGGGTGAGGGTTATTCACTAACTAGATAGTAGATAAGAATCATCCTAGGTGAAGGGAAGGACAGCACACACTACAGGGGAAGCCAGCACAACTGGACTAAACCAAAGCTAAGAAGTATCCTCAATACAATCAAATACTTTCAGAGACAGTGTAGCAGGGATGGGGAGTCTAGGGACCATGCTTTCAGGGGACATCTATGTCAATTGGCATAGCAAAGCTTATTAAGAAAATGTTGTGCATCCTACTTTGGTGAGTGGTGTCTGGGGTCTTAAAAGCTTGCAAGCAGCCATCTAAGTTGCATCAATTTGTCCCAACCACTTGGAGTAAAGGAGAACAAAGAACACAAAACACAAGGAAAGTATTAGACCAAGAGACAGAATGGTCCACATAAAACAGAGACTTCATTAACCTGAGACCAGAAGAACTGGATGGTGCCCAGCTACCATCAATGACTTCCCTGATAGGGAACAAAACAGAGAGTCCCTGATGGAGCAGTAGAACGATGAGATGCAGAACTCAAATTCCAGTAAGAATACCAGACTTAATGGTCTGACTAAGACTGGAGGCGCCCTGGAAAGCATGGCCCCTGAACTCTCTATCACCCCAGAACTAAAACAATTTCTGAGGCCAACTCTTCAGACGGGGATTGGACTGGACTGTGGGACATAAAGTGATACTCGTGAAGAATGTGCCTCTTAGTCAAGTAGATACAAGAGATCAAAGGGGCAGCTTCTGTCCAGAGGTGAGATTGTAAGTCAGAAGGAGTTAGGAGCTGGTTCAATGTTTATGTGGAATCAGGGGCAGAGGGGAGGAGTGTGCTGTCGCAGAATGGGGTGAGCGGTTGGGGTCTCATAACAATGTATGTATTAAAAAAAATTGTATGGGAGACTAACTTGAAATGTAAACTTCATTTAATTATAAAAATAAAAAAAAAGAGCCTTTGAACACAAGTTAGAGAGTTTCCCAGGTTCTCTGAAGTCACTGAAACTGTCCAGAAAGCAGGGCCTCTGAGTCATGGACACTTATCCCAGGGAGGAGATCCGGAAGTGGGATGCTTCTTATTATCAGCGTCCCTGTCAAGCCGGTTAGGGATGCATTTATATTTGTTTAGGAAATTGTTGGACCAGCCCAGATTTAGACAACTCCACTTCCCCCTGGGTGGGGCAGCAAGCCCTATAAAGAGGTCCTCTGCTTCACGGCTAGCATCCTCCTGATACTCCATTCCTGATCTCTTTGGAGAACCTGGTGAGTCTGATTTCTTGAGCTCTTCTGTTTATTTGTTGCTCTCAAATATTTGAATTCAGTCTGAAGACAGAAAATTTTGTGAGTCCAAAGTTATGATCATGGGTTTGATTGCCGTTTAGTTGATGAAAACTGTGGATTGGGGCATCATGATACAATGATATGGTGTTTTATCTTGGGTTCTAGTAGATAGTTTGATGTCTCTATTGAAAAAGAAGTTAATAGGAAAGATTTGGTTTGAAGAAGAGAACAAGGTAATTTGTTTTCCTTTGCATTTCTTTTGGAGTCCATTCTGCTGTGATTTCAAAGGCCATGGAATGCTCCCTGAACAGCTAGCTGCTTGCTCTCTACCCAAGTGTTGACACCTCGTAAGAAATAATGATAGCAACTTCTTGGGATGTTGCTCAGGAGTTCAGATCTTGTGACTGCCTTTCTGGAAGAAGTTATTTTATGTAAATATCATTACTTTCTGCTTTAGAGCAGAGAGAATTTTCCCAGAGCTAGTGAAGCAATTGCCTGAAGAGGAGAAGCCAGAAAGTGGTAAAAAGGGACTTAAGAGATGAAAGTATATCTTGGAGACTGGAAAGTTAATATCCAATGGAATCGAATAAGCTTTGGCATCTGTGTCTGTAGGAGTTCCTTCTCGTGAACACTGTCACCTAATTTCTTTCAGATTCCCAGAGACTCCAGAAGGATGTCTTACCAGCAGCAGCAGTGCAAGCAGCCCTGCCAGCCACCTCCTGTGGTGTGCCCACCTAAGTGCCCTGAACCATGCCCACCTAAGTGCCCTGAACCATGCCCACCTCCAAAGCGCCCTGAACCATGCCCACCTAAGTGCCCTGAACCTTGCCCACCTCCAAAGTGCCCTGAACCATGCCCACCTAAGTGCCCTGAACCATGCCCACCTCCAAAGTGCCCTGAACCATGCCCACCTCCAAAGTGCCCTGAGCCATGCCCACCTGTGCAGTGCCCACCTCAGCCATGCCAGCAGAAATGCCCTCCTGTGCAGGTATTCCAACCCTGCCAGCAGAAGTGCCCACCTAAGAGCAAGAATCTTCAGGATTCATCAGGATCATGAAAGGATAGGGACAACTGGCTCACCTCCTTCCACAGCTCCACCTTCGTCTTCTCTTCCAAGCCAATCATGGACACACTTCTCCATCCATCAGCTCATGATCTGCCTGTGATGATCCCTGACAGCTGAAGTTTTTTTTTTTTTTTCCTGCGTGGTTATACTTCTGCTCTCTAGGAGGTAACTAAGAAAGGGCAGTACTCAGCTGTGCCAGGATCCCAGTGCTTCAAAAGATGAACAGCGGCACACTCCTTCGGTCTCATCAGATGATTCTCATGTCTTCTGTGTCTGTAACCTGGGCAGGGAGTTCCATCGTTTGGAAAATTGGGATTTTCCTTTCACTTCCTGAATAAAGTACATGTTTTGAGATGGGACAAATATTTTATTTCTTTTGCAAACTTGCTTGTGTTAGTAATATTATAGCATAATTTTACTTTATTTCTATTCTTTTTTGATTCCAATACCCAGGCTCTCACAAACACTGTTATCTGAATTTTGGATCATACCAAAGATTATTTCTATATTATTTTGAACCCATGTTATTTTCTTTAACTACTTTTTGATTTGGGGGACAAATTATTTAATCCCTCAGGATTTCGGTTTCTCTATTGCAAAGTGGGGAAAATAGTATTTAGATTACAAATTTTTCTTCGGTATAAAATTGAATAATGCCTGTAACTTCGTTGGAAGAATACCTGACCCAGAATTAACCAAAACCAAACAAACCTCATTGCCATCGAGATGATTCCAAGTCATGGCAACACCATGTGTTACAGAATAGAACTGCTACATAGGGTTTTCTTGACCAAAATCTTTATGGAAGCAGATTTCCAGGACTTTTTTGCATGGTACTGCTGGGTGGGTTCAAAGTGACAACCTTTAGGTTAGTCGCTGTTGTTTTAGGTGCCACTGAGTTGGTTCTGACTCATAGTGACCTCGTGTACAAACAGAATGAAAGACTGTCCGATCCTGTGCCATCTTCACAATCTTTGCAATGTTTGAGCCCATTGTTGCAGCCACTGTGCCAATCCATCTCTTTGAGGTTCTTCCTCTTTTTCACTGACCCTCTACTTTGCCAAGCATGATGTCCCTCTCCAGAGACTGGTCCCTCCTGATAACATGTCCAAAGTACATGAGGCAAAATCTCACCACCCTCACTTTTTAGGATAGTAGTTGAAGTCAAACCATTTGTGCCACCCAGAGACCTTGACCCAGAATTAGCATGCAATAAATGGTAGTTCATTAGCAGCAGCAGATCATCATCATCGCCTTGTTTGCTCCAGCAACAGAGAAGCTTAGACATAACTCCTCTAGGAAATAAGATTTTTAAACTGTATTACCCTTTTATACTGTTACTCTCTTTTCTAATTCACTTCACTTTTCTACCTGACATTGTAGATAAACAGCTTTTGGGAATGAGTGTGTCATTCTACATAAAATCAGAGTATTTCTTTAAACACGGATAGTACAGAAGAAAGGGAAATACAAAGGCCCCAGAAGGTCAGTGTCTACCTCATCTTGATGGATACCACCTGCTTTTTCACTCCATTAGCACACAGAAATTCAGGGTCCAGTCACTTTTGTTCACCTCCAAAATTAATTTTTTGAGTGTTCTGACCTCACATTTCAAAAGTAATGGGGTTTAGACTCTTTTATTTAGATTTGAAAAGTTCCTGCTACTGTGCAGCTTGTTATAAGTGCTTATTTTACAAGTCAAGTAAGCTGTTAAAAGGAGCGATATTCTTTAAATATATCCTTTCTTATGGTCCTACTTGTCCACGTGGGAATAATTAACTGAGAACACACACATATACTCATACATACAGATGCATGCACACCCATGCACACACACCATTATTTTTAAAAGCAACAAAATCCTCACATTAAATCATACTGTACCTAAATATGGAAACCCTGGTGGTGTAGTGGTTAAGAGCTACCACTGCTAATCAAAAGGTCGGCAGTTCAAATCCACTAGGCGCTCCTTGGAACCTGTATGGGGCAGTTCTACTCTGTCCTATAGGGTTGCTATGAGTCAAAATCGACTCGACAGCAGTGGGTATACCTAAATACATTTACAATTAAGAGGCTTTTCCTCTTTTTATAAATGTATAAGATATTCCCAAATAATTTTCCAAGATGATTGTACCATCAGCCACTCCTACCAGTGATAGGCATCCCTGGGTGGCCGAAATGGTTAACCTACTTGTCTGCTAATTGAAAGGTTAGTGGTTGAAGTCCACCTAGAGACACCTTGGAATAAAGGCATGACCATCTACTTTGGAAAAATCAGCCACTGAAAACCCTACCGAGCACAGTTCTACTCTGACACACATGGGGTTGTGGAGAGTGAGGATCAACTCAATGGTAACTGGTTTTTACCTGTCATAATATGAAAGTTCCAGCTATTTTACATCTTTGCCAACATTTATTATTCTGTGTTTCAAGTTTTAGGCTTTCTAGTGGCTATGAAGTAGTATCTCACTGTGATTTTAAATTGCATTTTCCTGATGACTAGAAACGATAAACATCTTTTCACTTTTTTGCCTACTTTTGCATGATGTCTATTAAAATCTTTTGCCCATTATGTAGCTTTCCTTTTCTTTATTGATTTGTAAGAGTTCTACATATTATGGGTACATATACTTTGACATAGTTAATGTATTCTACCAATTTCTGGATTGACTTAATTTTCCTAACAGTGTGTTTTGATGAACATGAAATATATTCTTTTTTTTCTTTCATATTTAGTATACTTTGTTTCCTCTGTAGGAACTCTTTGTCTACCCTGTGGTTACAAAATATTTCCCTATGATTTTTTTTTGTTCTAAAAACTTTATAATTTTGTAGTTAGGTTTGGGTCTATAATTCCTAAAGAACAGGTGTTTGGGTATGAAGTGAGGTTGGAATGTAGGTTCATGGATATCCAGTTATTTTCTGTGCCTTTTATTGAAAAGACTTCTCCCATTAAATCGTATTAGTATCTTTTTCAAAAATTATTTGATTGTGATGTGTCAGTTAATTTCAAGACTCCATATCCCTTCAATTTATCTATTTGACTATCTTGATGTCAATATTACATAGTCTCTATTAGTATAGCTTTGCAGTAAATATTGAAAATATGTAATGAAATTCCCCCAACTTTGTTCTTTTTTTTTCAAAATTGTTTTGACTATTTTTGGTCTTTTCATTTCCATATAAATTTTAAAACTATTCACAAGTGGTATGAAAAAGATTGTTGATATTCGGTATTTGGATTAGGATTGTGTGGTAAATATTCTTCAATTTTGGGAGAATGCACATTTTAAAAAATATTGGCTTCTGATACACAAAGATGTTATGTACCTTCACTTACTTAAGTCCTCTTGAACTTATCTCATCAGCATTTTGTAATTTTTATGGAAATATCTTTGTATTTTTTTGAGTTTATTTTTTAAGTATTTTAGGTTGATTTGATCATGATTCTACATGATATCAATTTAAGTTTTATGGACTGTTTGCTGCTAGAATTAAAAAAAAAAAACTACAATTGATTTTTGAATATTGACTTAGTATACTATGAAATTACTAGATTTACTTACTAGCTATAAGAGATTTTCTAGACTTTGAAGGATTTTCTCTATATAAAGTCTTGTAGCCTGAGAATAAATATACTTTTACTTTCCAATTTCTATGTATTTTATTTCTTTTCTTTGCCATATTGTACTGGCTAGGACCTCCAGTAAATATTGAAGAGGACTGGTGTTCTGCTTTCTGCTGGATGTCTACCTCCTTGTGTCATGCAGACTAGGGAGTTCCTTCAGGATAAAACAACAATCATTTGTGGATATAACCCAGTGTGACTCATTCCTTTTAAGGGCTATTTCACATTCAGTTTCTGTCTGCCTTTGGTCACTCTCCAGTGCCTTCAATTAATTGTGGGTGTTTTTAAATATTTTATCCATAATTTTAATTGTTATTAGCAGGAGGGTTATTAAAATATAAACCACTCTTTCAGTACTGAATAATCAAACTCTAATCTTTGTATTTTCTTTGGAATATTAATTTATTTATATTTGATGAAAATTCAATTTAAATCTATCACTATACCAGTGCTCTCTATTTGTATCACTTGTTCTATATACACGCTTTTTTTCTCTCATTTTTCCTTCTTTTGGTTTAATAAAGTGTATTTATTTTATTTTCTTCTTTATTAGATTAGTAAGATTGTATATACTTTTATTTTTTAGTGATTACAGCATGTATACTTGACTTATTCGTGTCTAAAATAAATCAACACTTTTAAAAAAGATTTCCCAGAGAATGCAAGTTCACTGGTACACTTTAATTCTGTTTATACCTTCCTGCCTTTTATGTTACTACTATCAGATATTTCAATTCTACATGCATATAAAAACCCACAAGTCATTATTATTTAGATTTATTCACATATTTATATTTTCTATGGTTCTATGAGCATGCGCTTCAGTCCTTTAAATATTTTTATGTTTCTATCTGGAACAATTTTCATCCGATGAGAAGAATTCCTTTTGGTGTTTATTTTGTTGCAGATATACTGCTGACATTTTTTTTTTTTTTCTTTTTGTTTTTTTGGTCTAAAAAATTAACTTTGGCTTGTTTTATATTGTACTTTGTTAAAATTAAAAGGAATTAACGAATTAAAAGGGGGGAATTTTGAATACAAATTGAATGAGAAGAAGTGATTCTCTTCTATTTTATGAAGGATTAAGGCATAAATTCCCATTGAATTTCAAAGGTTTGTGTATTAAATTATGAGCCCCCAAACACAGCAGGCAAGTCTCAGCAATTCTGTGGCACTTGGCTCCTTTCTCAAGACAGCTAGATCTTTAATTAAAAAAATAAAAACATATACATTGCCGACAAATCGATTCCGACTCATAGTGACCCTACAGGACAGAGAACTGCCCCATACAGTTTCCGATGAGTGCCTGGTGGATTTGAACTGCTGACCTTTTGGTTAGCAGCTATAGCTCTTAACCACTACA